AAGCTGGCAGATGACATAGTCAAGGAAAGTTGTTAGTAGCAGCTCCAAATTGATGGTTTAGTTTTCCAGTTGAATGGGGAGAGGGCTATGCCTTCATATCAGAATCCTTATGCTTGGAGGGTTTTTCTAAAACTGAAGGAAGCAACTAGTAGTGAGTGTGTGTATGTGTGTGTATGAGAGAGAGCACATAGCAAGTTCACAGAGTCTGTTTGAAAATAGTGCCATTAGGATAGTTTGTCAGTTGCCTAAAACAGTATTAAGTTAAATGATTTCTCCATTTATGCATGTAATTTAAAAGTTGAGAGGTGTGTGTTTAAATCCTGGGAAATATTTTTTTCCTGAATTTTTGTTTGCTTGGTAAATGCCACAAAATATTTTGTTCTGAACTTAATTGGAATGGCTCAGGTAACTATACTGGGATAAGAACAGACTGGTTATGGATTTTAAAGGCTACAATTTTGAGAAATATCCTTCAGTGATAAGATAGCTAGAGATCAACCTGGGAGAGATTTGTATCAGTTACTTGGGTACAGTCAAATAGCATTTGAATTTATAATACCTTGCTTTTTTTGGTGCTGATAGCTATTGCCCCCCCCATACCTATATAAAAAACTGAGATTTTTTTCCTAATTAGGGAAATTTCAGCTTATTATCGTATCCAGCAGTCTGAATGGTTTGTTGCAAACTCATTGCCCCCCAATTTGATTTGCTTTTGTGCTTGATTTCCTAAGTTTTGTTTAGTTACAAATGATATAAAATTGTAAAATTGCTGTCTTGCCTGGATAGCATGGTCTAGAACTGCAAGGAGCTTAGGCATAGATAACAGGAGCAGAATACAAAACAGAGTCCATGGAACACCTATTATTTACTAATCCCCACAAAACAAAACCACTGCTGAAGAAAATCATAGAGCAGAAAAGCATTTTAAATATAAAAAACTTTGGCTTGCCCACGTTAGAGTCAAAGTGCCCAATAAGCAGACAAGATACAAGAGCTGCATTGTTAAAGGTAGTAATCTTAGATGCCATTAAATATTTAGCATGGTCTATTTGATCTGTTTCTCTCTGGCTTCTTCTTTGGGAGAGCTTTATTTAGGGTTTAATAGCTTCCTGTAAATTTGGTAGTTGAAATTAACAGGCTAAATATCCTTCTTCAAATTCTTTATCTGGAAAAAAAATTTTGGAATAAGGTCTTATAAGATCTTGTGTTTTATTTATCAATAAGGCTAGATATGGCAAGCATATTCAGTTCTGAACACTAAGACTAGGAAAGAGGAATATGTTTTCTGTTGGCTGAATCACAATTGCCTTGAGTATGAGAATAATTCTATTTACCCAGGCCTAATAATATTTGTAGGCATGAACATAGGTATTCCATACACATGGGTAGATAGGACTCAGTATCCTCTTCGCCTGAGTTCACATCAACACAAAACACACAAGCTAGGTATTGCCTTTAATGATAGCCACAGTGTTTTCTTATAACCTTAACCACCCCACTCCCATCCCCACACATGAGGGTTTTTTTAAAATACAGATGAAAATCTAAGGAAAACATGTGAATATTTGTTTTTTGGACTCATGCATAAATAATATTAGCTCTTCCTTTTTAATTCATCCTTGCAGCAATGAGCAACAGGAACCTGGTTGTCTTCTGGCACAAGGTAAATTTCATCTGTTGATCTATTTTTTTTAGCAGGGAGGATGGGGGAACCCAGTAGGGTCAGCTAAGCACTTAAATTAGATTATTAAAATTAAGCATTTTAAGTCCTGCTGAAGGGTTTAGTCAGTGGGATAGATATGCATACTTCAAACACTATTGCCGAAGGTTGAGACGATTCATGTACTTAAAATCACACCATGTAACATCTATTTTACCCTTATCACTGTAAGCAGTGTTGATTTTTAATTTATAGTTTTTGTTGGCTTCCACAATAACTCCTGGTAAATGAACTCAGAGAGCAAGCTGCTGTTGAAAGTGCTTTCTAGCAGTCCTAAAGCTGCTCCCATTGCTTTTAGTGAATCATAGGACTCCTGTTCAACCAATGGATTCCTTGAGCTCTTATCAGTGCCTACAAGGGTCCCTTGCAACTAGTTAATTGCATAAATGAGACCAGCTACACGTGAAAAGTACCTACCACGCCATAAAAAGGTCCAACCAGCTATAAAGTTAGACCTTGAAAAATGTGTACAAATTTTAGAGTTGGTTTCTATCCAGCTTTAATCTGCGCATATGGCAGGGTCTCCCCTGCGAACTGACCAGGCTCACAGCCACTGAGGTGTACCATGCACAGCTGGGGCTGAGATTCTTGTAGCTGAAGGGAATCTCCATCCTGGTAGTGCCCCACAGCTACCAGGATCAAGAGTCCCACAGCTGTGGACTCTTGGTCCCAGCAGCCTTAGGATGGCACCTGGATGGAGATTTCCACAGCTCATAGGGACTCACAGTCCCAGTGGCCATGGGGCACTGCCACAGCTGCGAGTCCCCTTAGCTATGGGACTTGAAGCTGCAGGAGCTTTTTATTTTCTGGTGCAGGGGGAGCCTGGGGTGACAATACAGAGCTCCCCCTTTGCCTGCAATAAGGTGTGATAGGATCCGATGCTGGATTCCACAACCGTGCCTCTTGCAATGGATTGTGTGGATCATGTATCAGATCATATCACACCTTTACCTGAATGTTGAGAGGAGCTCCAAGTCATTGACATCAATGGAAGTATTGTAGGCATAGTAGCTACAAGGTCTAGCTGAGAGCCTATACTCAGGCATTTACTGCACCAGTGGTGTCTGCAAAAAGAAATACCAGCAAATTCATCAAACCAAATTCTGTTTTAAAAGGATGTCCTGGAGGTGTCTCACTCTTTTTGGCTTGGGGTAGGGTGTATCATGTGATACAAATGAGACGGGCACAGCTTTAAGAGAATGATTGAAGAATTCCTTATACATTTATGTTTAAAAAAAAAGAAATATACACTAGAAAAGTAGACCCCACTCCATTTTTACTAGGCTATTTTGTGAGCCAGAAGGATTCTCTGCCTTACACAAGGAGTCACCATACCAGAACTAGGCTGAAACCTCTTTGTACAGCTCCAGTGGAACAAAAAGACCATAAAGTCAATACACAAACTACCTGGTTTGGGGAAGGAAGGGGGACATGAACTCCTGAGCAAGTAACAGAACCATATCTATTCTCAGCTGGTTATAAGCAGCTGAGTTTAGTACAGAGGAGTTCTAAAGCTACTCTAATTTTAACTGGGAGCCAAACCAGTACCAGAATGAGGGAGCAAGGAAGCAGCATAAAGCTATCTTTCACCCACCTTAGGGGTTAGGATGTTTCTTAACATTTTTAGATTTGAGGCGCCCCTTGAGAAAGGAAAACTCTTAGTTTTCACTTGTTTGTTTCATTACAGAACATATTAAAATAATTCTGTTGCAAAGAACTCAGAAAGACAATGACAGGTCAGAATGTTTCTGACACTGGATTTCTGATTGAAACCTCTGGAATTATCTTGTGAATCAGGCTTGAACACCTAACCATGCTAATACTGAGTGGCACACTGCAGGACCCTTGAAAGGATTTCATGGCATCCTGGTTGAGAATCTTTGGCTTAAATATACATAATCTTTAAAAATTACAGTGTGCAATCAGTGCCCCATTGATCAGCACTTGTGGAAGAATGTATGACCTTAAACACATGCATTTATATTGCTATGTGATACCCCTAGAGCCTACCGCACAGCTCTTATGACAATCCACAGGCAAGATTCTCAGTGACCTCAAGGAGAGTTTTGCCTCAGTAGAGACTGAAGGACTGTAGCTATGATCTTTGAAGATAAAGAAGTATTCTCAAACACACAGGACATAAGCAGAATGTGTTACCTAAACACAGGTGAAAATTTAAGCTCTGAGCACTGCTGTAGGATTGTCAGTGAAAGCTGGCTGGGGACTGACTAACTCCATTTGAGGCACTAATTACATTGTGGGCACCGTACAGATACAGCAATAAATTAACATGTCAGTAATATATATCATTCTCTATTCTTTAGACCAAATTGTAGGCAGAAACTCAGTATTCTAATGTCTGCAATTCATTCAAGTAAAACAACTAAAGCTCAAAGTCGTAAGTGTAACAGTTTCCTTGTTCATTTTTTTCTTGCTATGTTGAGGTAAAGGATAGTTTAGAACAGCATTTTATTAGACAGCATCTCTTGCATGTTGCAGTATTTGGACAGAGTGTAATGGATCTGGATACATGAGTCCACTTTATTCCTAACAATGATGTGCTATCAGATAGCTGTAACCCTCTCTCAGTTACCATAGTACAGAACATAAAATCCTCTCCCAGAGCAGCCAAACTCCTTGCAGTTGCAATGATCTACATTTTACAGATGATCCTTTCCTGATCAGTCTTCCCGTCTTGATCTGGGATTATTTGATTTTTTTTCCCCCAAGAAAATACAAATCAACAGTCTGCTGAACCGTGTAACAATATGTGTTAACCAATGGACATATTCTTGGACCTTTAGAAGTAGTTCAGTACCATGGTCAGCACAAAGAGGACACCAATCTATGTATCCATAAGGTGAAGTAAAGGGCTAATATATGAAGGATGTGACACTGAAGGAAATAAAAGAACATTGAAGAAAACGGTGGAGAGAGCTATTTTTTCCTATGCTGCTGATTGCTATGGGGAGAGATTAGATGGAAAAATGAGAGAAAGACATATGACTGGCTGTACTAGGTTTGATCAGTGAGAAGAACAAAGCTGCTCAACTGATGCAGATGGAACAGAAAAATGTGCTTCTGGATTATCAATTTGCTCTTAAGAGAAACTGCATTACACAAAATTGAAAGAAGCAACATGTTTTCACTACTCATTACAGCATGCACCTGCAAGTTGCTTTTCAGCTGAAGACAGGCGTTCTGGATACTAACTACCCACCTCTGGCTTAAATCCAGAGGCTAAATAAGAGAAGGTGCAAGGTAAAGAAAGTGCCACATTATGTTTAGAAAGATCCATTCAATATTTCACCCCAACTCCCATAGAAGGAATCTGATTGATGACATCCCATGTTATGATGGCACTAGCTCTGCTGTGAGGCTGATCCGCAGCACTTCAATGTACGTTCTTGGAGAGGAGCAGCAGAAACTGAGTGAATCCTTGAAAAAATGTAAAAGTACAGCCAGCATAGACTCATATGTTTGCTTTGAGCAGAAAGAGGAAGACAGGGCCTGGATGTACTCTAAGACCCAAGACTGCTTAAAATACTTACAGGACCTCTTAGCCCTGAGGAAAAAATACCTTGCCAGCATCAATGACTTGAAGTCTATGAATGCAACAAATAAAATTTCTCCTGTGTCTACAAAATCCTCCAAAACAGGGAAAAACCCACCACCACCTTCTTCCAAACAATCTTCTAAGGTAGGGACCTCAGCATGAGAAACTTTTGCTATTTGCCTTAACAGTATCATGCATGGATGCATGGTTTTTTTGATTTTCCATTTCAGCATTCTTTACAGATTGCCTTACACCGTTTGAAATATTGTTTAGAGAATTATTTATTACATGTCACCAATCATACAAGAGTGAGCAAAGAGAATTGGATTAGATAGTGCCTGATGAATTAGCTTTGATTTTCTTTACATCATAGATATAGCCAGCTGCAATAAATTATAGTTCAATAGGAACAACTGAATTCAGTGCTGCCTGAGCATATACAGGAAATACTATGTCATCATTTAGGATTATTGGCCAGAATCTGATGATAGTGCATGAACTTCGAAAAACGAATCTTCTGATGTCTATAAGAGACAGGTGTCATATTTTTCTGATCATAATTAGCCATGTTAGATTTTTTATATATTTTGAAATTATTATTTGCATTATAAGAAAGAGCCATACAAATCAAGTGATTTATAGACAGCCAGGGAGAACAGAAAATTGGTTATAATTAATTACATGTAGAGGCAGGGCTGGAAAAGTCTTTTTTAGTGGAAAACAGATATACTTTCATAGACTAAACTGATGGATGCATTTCTTTTCACTTCTCAGTTCTACTACAGTCATTCTGGACAGACAAGCAAATTAAACAGTGTTAAAAGGGAGAGGGTTAGAGTTACCATGCACTGGTGTCCCACAGTAATGCTTTCATGCATGTTCTCCTATCCTATGGTAAATGAAAGCTAAACCAGGGCACATCAGTCCTGAATGAAATAGGGCTAAATTATTGTGGTTTAGCTTTCACTTATTGTGAGAAAGAAGTGGGCACACAAAACAGTTACTGCAGAGCAGCTGATGCAAGGTAAGACTCCCTCCCCTTCTCTTAACTCAGAACAACTTGTTCATCTGTTCACGCCCTGTGTGATCTTGAATGAGTGGCTTTATTGTACCTTCATTACTCGGGAGTAAACTGGGGATGATAACACTTCCATTCTGCAAAGGAATGTTATGAGGACAACCCCCCCCCATAAGTAGAAGGTGCTTAACCTAGTAATGAACTACGTAAGCACTTAAAGAACTAGGGATTCCTGGAGGAGGAGGAGATTGAAACACAATGTGTATTTATAGATCCAATATAAGCAATGTGGAGGATAGCTAGATTCATGTGAATACTTATAAAAAAATGGTGGTCGGGGGTGTGTGTATGTGTGTAAATGTAAGAAAGAGGAGGGAGTATGAATATTTGTGAAATCCATAAAAAGATAACGTTGTTCCCAAAATGATCATAGACCACCTAGTACTTCATGGTTCTCTACCATGGGTATTTGTAGCTGTTACAGACTGGAGAGTTCAGTAAACTAGGAGATTATTGGAGATTTTATATCAGTCTCTGCTTTGAAATTATTGACAGAACATTATATAATTGAACAACCTTGATCTTCACTGATCAGGCAGACAGAATATTCTTAACACTAGTTTCAAGCAGTGGGTATGAGTCCCACTGTCAACTCATGGGGCCTGGTGAATATTGATCCTCAGTGCTCCTTTCTCTTGAAAATTGCTATTTATTAATATATTGGCTGCTGCTTTGAAAGAAGACAACAAAAAATCTTCAGCTTACTGTAATTACATGGCAGATGAATGTTGATAGACCAGCTTTTAAACTAGAACCATCTCCAAATGCTTTAATAAAATAAAGAAGCATGGATTGTGGTTTTTCATTTCAGTTGCATTTGTACATTGTATGCATCTGAACTGTTTTATTCATCCAGTCACATGGAAGCCTCAATGCACCTGGGATACAGAGCTCCCAGAAGCAGACGGTCTGTCTGAAGGGATGTTGTGCTAATGTAGCATGATCACAATCCCTGCTTTGACAATTGATTCACAACTGGTCAGTGCAGCCCCCAAACCAAAGGGATGGTGAAATTTAAAGGTCACAGGGTTGAATCATTGCATCCTTTAGGGAGCTCCTACTAGCAGTGCCATGACCATGCTTAGATGTCCAGCTACGACAGAAGTCCTGTGGGAGGGTGCTGCTGCCAGTACTGTTTACCTATCCTGAAGGACCAATCCTTTCAGGGACGTAGTTATTTCTGATGGCACCCAGGGGTTGCAAATTGAGCTCATGGCATTGAATGAAATATCCTAGGCACAGCGATCATATGTTTTAATGCTCCATGGACCTAATGGCCACTCTGGCTAACGGGATTTTTTCACTTTCTTTCAATGTGCTTTGGATCAGGGTTTATATCTGTATCATATTTGGTACACTGATGTTCAGTAAATAACGCTAGGATATTAGAGAGATTTGCAAATAAGTGATTATTCAGTGAGAGGGAAAGACCTGAAGAGATAGGCTGAAATACAGGAATGCAACTGTCACTATCAAATCAGGAGCCAAAAGACAAACTTGCTTATATAGATATGTAGCCTAAGATTTTAAGGTATGGCCTGCTGATGGTGAGGGAGCTGGCATCTCCACATCCTACCAGCAGTGGCTACAGCAGTGTGCTGATAGCTGCCCCCAGCCAAGGTTGGGGAGCTAAGGGCAGCTGAGCTTGATGTGAGCCACATCACTCCCATGTTTGCTGTTGACTATAGAAGCTGGTATGCCTAATAAGCTGCTAGGCTCTGTTGGAACTTTAACCTGCCCCGAGGAGTTAGGGTTGTTTCCTTTTTTGATTCATGGGAGATTTACAGGTCACCAGGTCATTTACATGTCGTTGCTATTAGTGTGGTTATTCTGCATTTATACTTGGGTTTCAGAACAGGTTTTGACCAAGAAAGTGAGAAAAAGCAGTGGTAAAGGATGCAAAAATTACTGATTACTGTAGGTAAGGGAATACACCTTACAAATATAAAGCCTGCATAAACTCCTTCTGTCCCTGGAGTGTTGCTATATACAACCGAAAATTCTTCTTAACAATAATACTAAAAGTTGAACTTTGGTGTAACAAATAATTGAATCTCAATGGCTAGCACTATGTCATCTGATTATAGCCGACTAGCTCTTGTGTATGAATAGCCTTGATTCTTTCTGAAGTGCTAACTCTATCAGCCTCCTGCTCATAAACAGATAATATATGACATCAGCAGGATATGCTGCACACTGAGTCATTCTCACCAACACAAAAGGTAGAGTCACAGCTCCATAGCACTGGCTTAAAGGAAAAAAAATGGTTCTCAAGGGATCAGGAAGTGGCCCAGAATACCTAGGTTATTTGTCTACTTTTTAAATGGTACTTTTATCAGCAGATCACAGGATCATTTTTAAATACAAGGCCACATTGATTTGTACTTCTCTACCTGTTTCCGTTCAATGGAAATTCAGTTCTTTTCCTTCCAGACACCTACATAATTTAGGGAATTTTGATTGAGATCCAGATCCCGAAGTCAGAACTGGGTATAAAACAGATTATTTGAGCCAAAACTGGGATTCTGAAACTTGGCTCAGCATGGCACAGTGGTGGCTCCATACTGCTGCCAGTGGCACAAGCTTTCCCTAAGATGAGGGAAAAAATTGTAGCCCTTAGAAAGAATATCCTGTGGGACTCAATAAACTCTCAGTACTCTCATTGCAAGTAATAGGAGTTTAGACACCCAAATCAGTGCTGAGCACCTAGATTAATTTTTTGATCTGGCCCAAAGACCTCAGCTCCTACTTGGTAACAAAATAGGTGGATAGATTTTCAGGCGTCAGTGTATTGGGGGTTGAACTCCTCTAGGAATTGTGGCCAAAATGGTCACACTGTATCAGGTATTGGCCCCCTGGGACCAAAAGACCCAACCTGCTGGACAATTGAACCATTTTCTTGCTACCAACTCTGAATAACCTGTATGTCCAAATAAAATTTTCAGCTGTTTGAAATCCAGATACAGGTCTTGCAATTTGAGCCCTCCTCTGCTTGGCATAGTATGATTACTGAGAAATAGTTCTGCCATGTTCTTAGCATGCTTTTCTCCCCACCCATCTGTTCAATAGATATCACTGGAAGGAAAAGTCCCACAGCCCAATTCAGATGTAAAAGAAGCAATAGCTTACTTCGACTCGATTATTGCAGAACTGGATACAGAGAGACGGCGGAAAATTCCTGCAACAAACCTCCCAAACGTGGATGTTGACTTTGATGGTGAAGTCTATATACTTCATTTAATTCATGATTAGTAAGGGGCTGGTGGGGAAATGTAGGTCTATGAGGGAGAGGTGTTATGTTTGTTCTCTGCACAGAAGTGAATTTCACCCTCCAAATTTTACACCCAGTTGTCCTGGCTATAAAGCTTTTATAATTTTAGGCATGTTTTCCCCTTTCCACATTCATAAATGATTGTCTGTTTATTCCCCTCAAGCTTACAAAACAAAAATTCACCTACAGACTAAAATAAAGTATAGAAAGAAAGTTGGAAACCAAAATTCATATTGCTGAAGAAGTTAAAAACAGACATCAGAACTGGAAACTATTATGGACCCTGGCATAGGTTATTTAGCATTTTGACCAGACAGGACTTCACTGGCATCCTTCTTTCTGAATGAATATCTGAACATTAGCATTCATTGGAAAGCTGTATTAACTACAGACTATCTTCTGTCTTTCAGTTGCTACCAGCACTAGCGAACACAGTTTACATTCAAACTGGATTCTTCGTGCTCGGAGACATTCACAGGATACCTCACAAACAGCAAAAGGAACAAACCAGGCTCAAACAAACAGTCAGAGAACCACCACTGGCTCCAGAAAGAGACTGGAAAGACATCCAATGTACTTACCCAAAGCAGTGGAGGGAGCATTCAACACTTTAAAATTTAAACCTAAAGCACGTAAAAAGGAATAGCTCTAGCTGGAAGATTGCTATACGAAATAATGTGTAATATTTATCTCTTTTTAAAAACTGTGCCCCACCATGTACACAATAGTAGTGGCAAATGAGTATGCATTCACTGAAGGTTCTTTATGCTGTATGTATTTTAAGCCATGGTTATTCCAGGTTTGGACTGACATCAGAGTTTAGCTCATTGAGTTCACTGTGCCTAACAATACTGCTTTATCACCAGAGGAAAAGAACCCCTTCAGCTTGGCAAGCATTTTTCAGTGTTGTTATTGGAAGCAATGATTCAAAGATTGCCTGGTGCAGTAATTTTTCTTCACTCTACTACTGCAAAGTAGATCTGTTAATATGTGGTGAGCTTGTGCATCAGTAATTCCAATTACAGTGAAATGAATTTTCCTCATCTTTGCATGTGAAAACTTAGTATGTGCCATCACCAGTCCCATGACCTGAGATCATGAAGTGGCACTAGTAAGAGGATGTGGTAAAGGAAGAAATTGCTGCAGTGAGAGCAGCCTGCATTTTGTGACATTTTGTTCCTACCATGTGCTAGGGAAAAAAAAATCAAGTAGTTCCTATATGTAGCTTTCTGAAGAAAGTTATTTTCTTGTTGGACACTGCATGTGAAGATTTTGTGCAGTTCTTTTCATATGGCTACAAACAAAGTGTTTGTTTATTTTACTACCCAGATGCAGACTAAGTCTTATTTAAATGCTGGAATCTGAAATATTCATATGTTCTGTTACTAATGTTTAACATCAGTGAGCTGAGGCATTTTTGAATCAGTCAGGCATAGACTGTTCTCTAATGGGAGGCGAAGGGTGGAAGGAAACTACTAAGGAATCTTAAGGAACCCAAGCACATCATCATTAGGTTTCATCTGTTATCTGGATTTCTGCATAGTATTTCAATGCTTTCGTTCAAATGTAAACATCCTAAACAACATATTACAGAGGTGCTCCAAAGGAGGTGCTTTTGCCTTAGAGGTGCAGTATGCGCTCTATGCCAGAGGTTATCAACCTCAACACACATGAGACATCCCTCAATAGATTTGAGGCACCCCTTGGAAAATGTCTGTTCTTAGTTTTCACTTGTTTTTTCGACTACAGAAAAATAATAGAGCAGTTCTTCTGTTGAAAAGAACTCAGAATGACCACAACAGGTCAGAATGGTTTTAACACTATGTATTCCTATTTGAAATTTCCAGCATCATCCTGTGAACCATGTCGGCGCATGTAACAGTGCTAACATTGCATACTGTGGCACCCTTGAAATGATCTCATGGCACGCCAAGGTGCCACAACACCCTGGTTGAGAATCCCTGCTCTGTGCATACTGCGTGGTATTTGGAACTGTTCATGCACACAGCATGCCTATTTCCCTAATGTGCAGTGAGCAAATTAAGAACTATGCTGATGCACTAACCTCCTGCTGCATTGGCCTGTCAGAATAGGTAGCTCTCTTTGAGTCCCTAAAATGTGTTGGAGAGAGACCTTTGTGCTTCACTGTCTTTTCTTTTAATTGGCCTTCAAGCAATACGGATCTACAGTGCAAGGCTTATAGCAAATGAAACAGGAGACAACTCCATTTTAACTGTCCATCTACTCAATTTGTTGATACTTCCTGCTTCTATGTTCAGCAGTTTTTCTACCAAAGGACTTGGATCCCTATCCAGTGGCAAAGACCACTGAATTCATCAGTCTGTGGCATTGTGGCCTTCATGAGCATCATGCATTCTACACAGTGGTATATGACAGGTGACAAGGAGATCTGCATTTCTGTGCTTCTTGACCGAGTTACTTGACCAGTATCTGACAATGAGTAAACATACCTCACTCAAATCTTATTGATTTAGGATGCTTTACTTCACCAGATAGCAGAGTACTGATGGACACAAATTCAGCTGTTCACTGTTGACATCTACTGATTGTCTACCGTTTGTCTTCCTAGTGATGTTCATGAACAGGGTTTTGCTTCTGTAACACTTCAGTCTTATCTGTTCTTCCTTCACACTCAGTCTAAACTGTAGCTCCGCCTGATCTATCTACATAAACCCAGCCAACAGCAACAAGAAAGTCTGGTGTCATGCTGGAACATTGCATTAATGGATAACTTTGCTCTCCTTTTACTGCTGCTCCTCATGGTCAAACAGCTTTCCCCACGCTCTTGCTAATGGCAGCCAGTGCTGGCAGCCAACTTTCTGCCTCCCATCTGTTGGCCCTGTCCACTCTGTGTGAAGATTAAAAATGCTTCAGTATGCCTCCAAGTTTGGGCATGGACAAACATACCTCTCAGCCACTTTAAAAGCAAGGGAGGGAGCTGCAGTGTGGGAGCAGGCTGCAGCTGTTACAATCTAGGTGCATCTACATGAGATGGTTACTGCACAATAGACTAATTAGCTGCACAGTAAATGTCATGTATCTAGATGTGTGTCCCTATTAAGCCGGAGTAAACTAATTCACTCCGCAGTAGGGTAGTACTTGTAAATACTATCTGCAGCAGTAAAAAACTCAGCACTACACCCGTAGATGCTGACATAGCTGGCTGGGGCATGAGGGTGCTTCAGTAATGGGGCCGCCTGCCGGCTAGTCCCATGCTGAAGCGTTCTTGTGCCCTAGCCAGCCCCCCTGCAGCACATTGAGCTGTGGGGGGAAGCAGCCTTGGGCTGGCAGGCTGACCCCCCAGGCCCCATGCAAGCTGAGGCTGCTCCAACCCACCTCAACCTGCTCTAATTCTGGGAGGGCACCTGGGAGCAATAAACTTCCCTCTCATTAGGGTGAGAAGTGAAGTCATTTTGACAACCTGTGGCACCTTGGGAAACCCTGACACAGGTGTGTCTCTGGGGCCATTTCACAGGTTTTTGACCACTTTCTACAGTGTGTAAAGGGACTCAAATGTTCTGAAAACCTGGTCCATAACCTTTTTGAAGAACAGTAATTGAATTATATAATAATTGAACATGACAGACAGTGTTCTCCCATGCCAGTGCAACACAATCTCTGTTGTGATGTATGTGTACTTGGGTTTTAGAAAGAAAAATGTTTCTAAATTTTTCAGACTTTTTGTCTTTATTTTCTTCACCTTTACTTGTACTCATGGCAGATCAGCTACTGCATAGGGAAATAAACTAAACAAGAAAGCAGTTTCCCTAAACAATTCCATTCCCAAACACCCTTTTTAAATGCACACATGTTTTTAAATAGGCCTAAATTGCCTATTTACATATTCAGAGCACAAAATCAGTTATCTGGCTGTCTAGGGAGATGCAGGAGGCAGCTGACTGTTGGGAGTGCAGGATCAGGTTTTGGAGATTACTGCACATATTATGGAAGACTTATTCCAGTAAAAGCAGCTCCGCACCACAGTACCACTGCTGAGAAGTAGTGTCACTGCAGAGTTGGTCGGTGTGTTCTCTCAGTCACAACCCTGAGACCTGATGGACCTCATTTTGCTCTTTCTAGACCATATTGACTCTACAGAGGTATTCACAAGGCAACTCTAAGACACTGTGTCAGCATTCAATAGGCTCAGATTAAAACCTGGGATAGATTTCCTGGAGTTTCTTCTTTCATTGTTTCAAAGTTCCATTTCATTGCAAAAGCCAGGGCACCACAAGTTCATTGCATTAGTGTCACTGTTGAACACTAGTACAATGGGGATTCAGTGTATTTTCTCTCTCTCATACACGCCCAGTTGCTTGTATGAAATAGGAGATACTGTATAATAATGAGTAAGTAAATTTAGAGAGATGACGTTTTCCAAAGTTTTCATGCCCTGTAGGATTTAAACTCACTTTGTTTATATTATCATTCTGAATTGGACAACTTTGGCAGAGGCAGAAGACGTATAGACGCTGGGTGTCTAATGGAAACTTGGCAGCTGGACAAGATGTCCACTCTGGTTTAAATCTTTCAGTGTTGTAGCTTTATAATTAAGGCAGAAGGTGTCAGCACAGACATAGGGAAAGCACTGTAAGTAGAAGCCTGATGTAACGCACAAGAAAGATATACATTTATCTATTAAGTGAATGGGACACATTAAAAAGGAAAAGGTTTTCCACTGACACCACCACTCAACTTTAAAAGAACATAATAGTGACCAGTACATACTATCACTTCAAAAGCAGCTTCATTTACTGTAGCTGGGAGGAATACTAGATTTGGCTCAGCAAGCCCATAGTTGTTCTGTTTCTGCAATGGACCATGCAGAAAGGGTTATTATCCTCAGAAGGACTTTAGTGTTACTACCAAGAATTGCTGTGCCTTAGGTGTCTTGCTGCCTGGTTGAATCCTCATCCCTAATCCTGGGGTCTAGGTTCTCTGTATAATACATAGGGATAGCTGAGAGCAGTGTCCATAATGGTCAGTATATATAACAGGGAGCACCTGAAGATATGTCATTGAAATGCTGAGAAGAAAGAAGAAGTAAAGAAGTGTGCCTTAAGTACTGTTCTTCTTCAGCTGCTGGAAGGCACTTCCCTCCACTTGCAGTTCAGAGCCCCAAACCCTGTCCTGGAGTTAGACACTTAGGCCAACCCTTTCTCACAAAACACAGCTATAAGGAGAAGCCCCTTTTAGTTTGGTGCTTAAAGCACTTCCTCAGAGGGAGCTCAAGCTCTGTGGAAAAACAAAAATCAGGATAACACATGGTGAAATTCCCCTACCTGTGCAAAGCTCAAGAGGCCCACCTCAGACAGCAAGGGATTGGGGTTCCTATTCACTATTCCCACAGACATGTCTCCAACCTATAAAAGAAGGAGGCAGAAATAAAAGAGAGAGCATATGCCCAAGAAAAGCAAGAAATTAATATGACAGGGAGGGTGAGGGGGATGGGGAGAAGAAGGGAAAACACTGAGAATTCATGAAATTGAAGCTCACAGTTTAA